AGCCATCAGAGGAGAAAACCAACAAGTGATTCTACAAATACCTAAAAATAAATGTAGAAAAGAAACATGAACAAGGAAGACAGTATGACTCCAGAAAAGGAACACAACAAGACTTCAATATTAAATGGGAAGGTGAAGAGATTGATGAAATGTTTGCAAAAGAATTGGAAAGAATAATATTGCTCAGAAACCAAGAGAAATGAATACATGAGATAAAGAAATTCATATAATACATGGATATTTTGCTGATAGAAATATTGAAGAGGAATCAAACTGAAGTAACAGAAATGAAGAATTCAATGTCAAATAAAAAACACAGTGGAAAGCATTAACAATGGAGAGGCAGAAGAAAAAATATCAGTTAAAAGAAAAAACCTCGGAAACTTTCCAAGTTATTATAAAATGTAAAGAAGAAAAATCCAAGATCTGGTATAGGGCATTTTGGATAGGTATTTCAAGTATTCAACCTATATGACAGTATTTTAATTTACATTTTATTGAGTGCCATGATTTTTGAATTGTCTACTCACATCTTTTGCTTTAATTTTCTATAGGTTTTTATTTATTCTTATTAATCCATAGTTAACATGTTCTCAGTGCTAACCTGCTGTCAGTAATATGCATTACATATGTCTTCTAACAGACTGTCTGCTGCATGTATTGATTTTTGTAAGGGAAGTTTTATAAAAGCAACAGTAGGTTAATATATCAATCTTTTCAATTTTTAGCCTGTATTTAAACCTTGACTAAGCAATATTTCCCAGCAAATGTTAAAGAGAGAAACTCTGAAATTTTTTAAAGAGAATCTGTCATGTTTTACTTCTTAGCCTAAGTTTTTAACCATAAAACCATATAAAGACATAAATGTATAATGCAAAACTTTATAGATTTTTTTCATAAGTAATAACCATGCCTAATATTATGGTTTTCCTACTGATGTATAATGTACCTGCATCATGTACCAAACTCCTATATATAGCATTTACTCCATTCTAGTCTGCCAAGCTCACTCTTGTAAATAACACTGCATTTTATTCTTCAACAGAATCGTCTTGGTAATTGGCATCTTACTAATTAATGAAGCTAAGATTAGGTTATCGATTTTTTATACAAATACCAAGAATGAAAGAGAGAACGAAGGGGAGAGAGAGAGGGAGAGGGAAAAGGTGAGAGTGAGGGGAGAGGGAGAAGCTATAGGGATTTTAACACAACACTGATTTTAAACATTTGGGAAGACTTATTCTCACATTAGAGAACTGAATCTTCCTATCCAAGTATAGTAGTTCTAAATTCTCTATTTAGTTCTTCTGTATAGCTATTACAACTATTTCGTTCTTGAGAATTTCTACTTTTTTTATTTGTTTCACGCGTATTTGTAAGTGTTCCTTGATGCACACTTATGGCCATATAAATATTTGTGAAATAGGGGCCAGTGCTGTGGTTTAGCTGCCACCTGCAGCACTAGCACCCCATATAAGTACTAATTCAAGTCCTGGTTGTTCCACTTCAGATTCAGCTCCCTGCTAAAGTGCCTAGGAAACAGTGAAAGACGGCACACGTCTGTGGGCCTGCCACCCATGTGGGAGCCTTGGATGAAGCTCCTGGCTCCTGGCTTCGGCCTGGTCGAGCCCCTGTCATTGTGGCCATTTAGAGAGTGAACCAGCAGAAAGAAGTTCTCTCCCTCTGTTTCTCCTTCTCTTTCTATAACTCTGCCTTTAAAATAAATAAATAAATCTTTAAAAAAGGTTAAATAATATCACCATATCTGTCACTCAGATTGTCTTTTTTCATTGAACAAGAAATTTTCTTGATTCTTGGCATGCTAACTTGTGATAGGTACCTGGGCATTTTCAGTATTATGAGAGTCTAGATATTATTTAAACCTATTTCAGCTGATTTCCTCTGATAGTGTTCCATAAGTGAAAAAGGGGTGGTGGTGTCTTACTTCTGCTCATACCAGTCATAATTCTGAAAGATACAATCCCGAATGCTGTAATTTTGAATGCTGAAATTCAGAAAGAGCAAACCCTAAAGTCTAAAATCCTACCAAAACAACAATCTCAAAAAATTAAAATCCAGAATACTAGAATCCTGAAAACCACAATTCCCACTGGGAAAAAAAAAAAAAGGCCACTGAGAGGGGTAACACAGCAAATTCTGGAGAAGTGTTTTCAACTGTATATGGGATAGTGGCCAAATCATTCAATCATTTATTAGTTCTGTCCCTGCATACCCACCATTATGTTCTCCTTACAGAAACATTCTTTGTTACAGAATAAAAAGAATTCAAAAAGCTCAGTGACCATCTCAATCAAGGATACTTGATAATATAGAGGTTCCTCCACTGTTACAGCACACATTAATTGATGAACTATTCTTGGTTAGAGATTTGACTGTCAAAGACAGTCTTCTCATATTTACCACTAAACATAACATAGAAAAACCAGCATATGCTTCACCTTGGCTAAGGCATGGCAGTTCCAAAATCGTCCTCACTGTATTTTATTAAATATATAAAAACCATGCCCTGTTGCCTCTAACAGTTCTAGAACTTACCTTATTGCTTATGTATTAATGAAAGGAAAAAAGCATAATGACAGATGAGGTGCAATCAAAACTTCTTAAAATGGATTTCCAGGTGTAACTAATAAAATGTGCTTTTTTCATTCAGCCCAACATATTTGGTGGAAATTTCAGATAAGTGGATTGCCCATATAATATGGCAACAATGAATGCCAACTTGTTTAAAACTGTGTCATTTGTTTGCCTCAGCATTCCTTCCAGCTGATGAATTCTACAAGTTCTTAATGAATTAAGCCACACTTACCTAAAGAAGCCATTGTAATTTAAAAATATTTTTAATGACTGTATCATAAAATAAAACTTTATATGACTACACTTTTGAATTGTAAGAATGATGACTAAGGTAAAGGAAAGTGAAAACATTTTTTAGTCCTTTGGAGATTTTCCTGTGAAATCTATTAATGCAATGATGATTAAGCCTCTAAATCACATGTATAAGATACAATATTAACTTACCTGATTTTTACAAACTCTGTACAGATAGCCTGAATAGTCCTAATTCGACTTTGTGATGCTACAAAAGTGATGAAATCCTGTAGCAATTGTACTTTGAATTTGTATTTTGATCTTCTACAGGCTAGTGATATGTGATGTAATTCTGTCAATGCAGTATTGTGGTAGAAAGCCACAGCTCCCTGTCAGCCAGGAAGGTAAGTAACCAATACTCTACAGTGTATAGATGTTTCCTGACTTATAATGAGATTACATCCTGATAAACTCACTGCAAGTTAAAAATATCATTAAGACAAAAAGGCACTTAATATCCCAAAATACTCACCAAAAAAGAAAAAATACTAAGTCAAACAACTTTAAATTGAGGACCATTTGTACTATGTTGTTAAGTTATGATGTGCAGTAGGTTGGATACATCAAATGCATTTTTGACTTACGATATTTTCAACTTATGACAGGTTTATCTATACATGACCCTATAATTAGTTGATGAGTATCTGTACTCATGTTGGTTTCCTTCTCTTTCTCCCCCCTGCCTCACTTCCCAGTCCCCTACTGGGGCTCCTTAGAGAAATGACTTAAAGAAATGACATGCCTTAGAATGCTTTTCAGGATCTGTTTATAAAGATGTCCAAAGGAAGAAGATATGAAGTAGCTTTCAAATGAGGACAAATTTCTTCTAAGGGAATTGGCTTTTTTTCCATAACCATTGGTTTTACCATCATGGTACATCATTTCATATGTGAAGGTACTACGAAACTTCATTGAAAATGGAACTATAAGATAGGTTTGTTCTGATGCAAAATATTTTTGAAATTCATGCATTTGGGGTCAGTGCTGTGCTGCAGTAGTTAAAGCCACAGCTTGCAGCACTGGCATCCCATATGGGCACTGGTTTGAGTCCCAGCTTCTCCACTTCCAATCCAGCTTCCTGCTAACACGCTTGAGAAAGCAGCAAAGGACAGTTCAAGTCCTTGGGCCCCTGCACCTACCTATGTGAGTGACGTGGAGGAAGCTCCTGGCTCCTGACTTTAGCCTGGCCTAGCTTGGTCATTGTGGCCATTTGGGGAGTGAAACAGCAGATGGAAGAACTATGTTTTTCCTTCGCTCTTTGTAATACTGTCTTTCAAATAAATAAATAAATCTTAAAAAAAAAGAAATTCATGCATTCAGAGTATTCAAAAAGTTGTGGCAAATGTGTATTATGGAAAAAAAATGCATGGAATTCAAAATATTTTAGACCAAACTACAAGGGAACTTCAAAACGTTCACGAAAAATAGCATTAAAGTTTACTTTAGTGTAAGAAAATTTAAATCCATATAGTTTTTTAAAAGATTTATTTATTTATTTGAAAGGCAGATTTAGAGAGAGGCAGAGGCACTGAGTGAGAGAAAGAGAGAGAGAGAGAGAGATCAGTCTTCCATCCGCTGGTTTACTCCTCAAATGGCTGCAATGGCTGCAGCTGGGCCAATCCAAAGCTAGGAGCCTGGAGCTTCTTCCAAGTTTCCCAAGTGGGTATGGGGACATAAGAACTTTGGATATCTTCTGCTGCTTTCCCAGGCACATTAGTAGGAAGCTGGACCAGAAGTAGAGCAGTGTGGGCTTAAACCGGCGCCCATATGGGATGCTGACAGAGCAGGTGGAAGCTTTACCCGCTACCCCATAGTGCTGGCCCCCATGTATAGTTTTTGATATGAGTTTCCATGAACTTTCAGAAAACCCTTTATGCATGATTTTCAAAATATTTTTTATAATAAGGATAAACTTCTAATTTCATTTTCCATGAACTTATTTAAGTACCCTGTATTAAAGTTACATCCTCTTCAGTTTCTTACCATCCCAACAGATTTATATTACAAAAAGCCATTGATAGAAGCTTAATAAAATGAAGGGAAAAAAACACTCATGGGAAAAGTTATGACATTATCAGTTCTTCTAAAGAAAAAAACATTTTTGAAAATACCGAAGTTGTTTTCGGAGTTGTTCAATTTCTACATTCTGTTCAGTCATAGTCTTCAGAAAGTGTTGGTTAGTCTGCCGTAAGAAAAAAAAAAGCAGTTATTAACAGAATATTTAAGAATTATAGCTTCAAAGATTGACTATAGCTTAAATAAGTAACATATAAACAGAAGAAAACATGAAGTGAGATTCATGATGACGATTAGATGTATTTGAGGGTAAAATGTAACCGTGCGGCCTTTCCTTGTCTTTACTACCTCAGTGGAGAGTTGCATCAAACTACCTACAGCTGCATTTCTGGGGTCTACGGCTCTCTTTGGCTATCTGAATGTCCTTTGTTCATCTACCTGTTTGCGTAGAAGGGTACACGTATGGTAGAATTAATGGCCCACTCCGCTTTGGAGCAGCCTATTTGACTGGAGGGAATTGGTATATAAACAACTCCCTTGTCACATGCGTGGAATAACTCAGGTGTGTGTTCTATACTGGCTTTCAGAGGGATTAGGGTTCAAGTACTCAGAGTGTTAACATACTTAACTTTTAGAAACCCTTTCATTGGCTGCCATTTCTTTCCTTCTTGGTCTCACTTCCCACTGTTCTATCTGTGCTTCCTAGTATGGCTTCCTAAATAAATAACATGTTTTGGAATCTTTTCCTCAAGTTTGGCTTATGGAGAGATCCAAAGCAAGATAGGAAATTGTAATCTAAGTGTAGAAAATCTTCTGCTAAGGGGACTGATTTTTTTTTTTTCTGTAAGTACTGATTTTACCATGCTGATACAAATTCTTTATCCCTTTGCAGACATATTATAGTTACCTCCTGACTTATAATCTTTTTTTAAAATGATTGATCAATTTATCTGAAGAGAGAGAGAGACAGAGAGAGACAGAGAGATCTCATCCACTAGTTCATGTCCCAAATGGTTGCAACAGCCAGAGCTGGGCCAGGCCAAATCCAGGAGCCAGGAAATCCATCTAGGTCTCCAATGTCAGTGGCAGGGACTCAAGTACCTGAGCCATTATCTGCTGCCTCCCAGGCACATTATCAGAGAGATGAGTTGGAAGCAGAGGAGTCAGGACCCAAACCAACCCCTCATATGGGATGTAGGCATCCCAAGCAGTCTTAACCTTAAGGATCACAACAAACACCCTGACGGAGAAGCCTTGCTTTCCATCTCCATCTGCCCCAATAGATGGTGCTTACATTTCTCCAACTAAAGTCACTAAATCAGCTTTCACTGTGCTTCTCTCATGCTCTATCCAATTTCATTTACTTTACATTCTTTTAAATTTTGAGATATAGGAGACGGTCCTTCCATTTGCTGATTCACTCCCCGCAAATGTCTGCAATAACCAAAACTCAGCCCAAAGCCAAGAACCAGGAACTCAGGCCAGGTCTCTCACAGGGATAGTGGGGACCCTACTTTGAGCCATCACCTGGTGCTTCCCAGGGTGAGCATTAGCAGAAAGCTGGATTCATGAGTGAAGGAAGACTCCAGCGCAGACATTCTGATGGGGGAACAGACATCCCAAGTAGCATCTTAACTGCTATGGCAAAAGCCTGCCCCTAGCTTCATATTTTCAATATACTATTATATTTCTCTTTGCCTGGTCTTCATCCCACAACATGTTCTGTGGCCCACTCACTGTCAGGCAGAATTAACCACTTCCTTTTTGTATTTTAGTAAAATTTTATACATACCTTTATAGTGCAAATGCATTAAACTAAAGTTTATATATTTCTGGCTACACTAAGAAGGCTTTTTTTTTTTTTTATTGTAGTATCAGCCTCTCCCAGAACTCTTAAGTGCCTGGTCCATGGTTTAATACATTTAGGCACCTATAACTTTGAGGAATGAATGAGTGAATGCCCTTACTGAAACATGAAAGAAAGCCCAAGATTTTATCTTTATGATTATTTGGGAAAAATAAATTACTAAAGACCAGAATTTAGTATGTAATTCATAGACCACAGTTTAAGAGACCAACTATCACAATCACCAAAAGGTGGAAAGAATAATAAGTATAATACTACACAAGAAGAGTTAAGAAATCAAACAAAACAATTAGTAGTAACATTGGGTACTGGGGTAATGTGATATGGTGATAATGTAATTTTCAGCCCTCCTCAGACTCCAAGGAGAGAAAGGGGCTGAAGGCTGAGTTGATCACTAATGGTAAATGTTTTAAAGCATTCATGCCAAAATACTGAAATATCCCTAAGAACCTAAATGGATGGGTTTAGAGTGCCTGAGGATTGCTGAACACATGGAGATACCAGGAGGATGATGGTTCTGGAAGAGGCTGTATACCTGTATCCCTGTATCTTGTCCAATGTATTTTTCCATTGGGCTGTTCATTTGTACTTCTTGTGTATGCTTTAAAATGCTGGCAAATGTGAAAAAAGCACACTTCTCAGTTCTATGAACCAGTCTTGTAAATGATCAGAATGGGGGAGAAGGTCCCAGGAACCCTCACTTTTCATCTTGTTAGTTAGAATTTCTGGAAGCCTAGATATGTGATTGGAATTTTAATGGGGCAGTCTTGTGAAAATTAAGCCCAGAATTCGTGAGCTCTGATTCCAATTCCAAGTAGAATGTGATAGAATTGAATTAATCATAGGACACCCAGTTGTATCGACTGTAAAACTCAGTACGGGGGAAAATATATACAACCAGTTACAGAAGTGTTTTGTGTTGAATGTGATATGAACAGCAGAGAAAAAGTGTTATTTTTTGTTAAGTTATGAACATGAATTTGGGGAGATATAATCATTGTACACAATTTAAAGATTGTCTTGAGCTTGCTTCGTATTGCTCCAAAAGGAAAAACTATGTATGAGTGGGAAGAAACCCAATGACAGATTTTAGCTTTTTAATGGTCAGAGTTCAAAGGAAGAGGCTCTTTTGGGAAGTGATAAAATCTCTTAAAGGGGATATTCAAAGCAAAGGCAAGATGATCACCTTCTAACAGAGGATAGCTGTTATTTGGGGGAACAGATGACCTTTAGTATCTTTTCAAATTCTCCTATGAAGCTGGATCAACAATTTTTTTTAACCTAGAAACCTGTTATTTAAGGTACACAAATTTCATATATATAAATTCAGGAACATAGTGATTCTTACCCTATCATCACCCCTGCCCATAGATTAACAATTTCAACCCAAATTGATTTACATCTGTGACTTCTAAAATGTATTATCAGTGTTTTATTATATATAAGTATACTACTATTTTGGTACTAGCATAATTAGTGCTTGTGTTTTAATTATATCAGATGGCCTCAAATATATTAGAAGAGGGATAAATTGGAATTATGCATCTTAAAAATCTAGTGATGGGAAGCAAGTTAGCTAGCCTAACTTGCCAGCAAACCTAGTAAGAACTCAACAACTATATCTGAATATGGATTTATTGTACTATACTTGGGACCATAAAAATTTATGTAATATATTAATAGGCTAGAATTTGGAGATCCATAAAAGTCTAGGGAAATATTCCTTTTAATTATCATCTATATTAGCACCTTATTTAACACTACTTCCTGTTAGTTCTGCTTTACCAAGTAGACATGTTTTACAGATGATGTATGTTTCTTTCATAATTTACAATACTTATATTAGTGAAAAGATATTAGTATGCAATTAGTACATATTTTGAATGATCTTATGGAGAAGAGCAAATCTCAAAAAAAAAAAAAAACCCAGAATATGATTTCCCAGTAAAGAGACCATCTAGGAAGTATGAAATTTCAATTTATCAAAGGGCATAACAACAATAAAGTTTTAAAAGATACTTTGATCTTGTTTTTAAAGATTTATTTATTTCCTTAAAAGACATCTAGAAAAGGGAGAGGAAGAGGGAAAAGGAGAAGGAGAGGGAGAGAGGCAGAGGAAAAGAGAGAAAGAGAGGGAGATATTCTACCTGTTGGCTGCAATGGCCAGGGCTGGGCAAAGCCAAATTCAGGAGCTAGAAATCCAACCAGGTCTCCTATCTGGGTGCAGAGGCTTAAATATTTGGATTTTCTTCCACTGCTTTTGCAGGCATATAGCAAGGAGCTGGGTAGGATATTGAGTGGCTGGGGACTTGAACTGGTACCATATGGGAAGCCAGCATTGCAGGTGGCAGCTTAATCTGTTGAGCCACAATGCCAACTCAAACATAGCTTTTTTTTTTTTTTCAAAAAAGATTTTATTTAAAAGGCAGAGTTACAGAGAAAGAAGGAGGGGAGAAGAGGGGAGAAAAGGGGAGAGAGAGAGAGATCATAACTTGCAATGCAACAATGCTGGCCCATAAACACAGTTTTATGTACCATTACAGTCAGGGTATTTTATCTGTGATATATTATTAATTTGCATTTATAAAGAAGATTAATTTTATTGTATGAGATTTTTAGGTGGAATAATACTATCTAACAAGTTTTAGTATATAACATATGTGATATATTTTTTTTTTTAACTTTTATTAATGGAATATAATTTCAAAGTACAGCTTATGGATTACAATGGCTTCCCCCCCATAACGTCCCTCCCACCCGCAACCCTCCCTTTCCTATTCCCTCTCCCCTTCCATTCACATGAGGATTCATTTTCAATTCTCTTTATATACAGAAGATCAGTTTAGCATACATTAAGTAAAGATTTCAACAGTTTGCTCCCACACAGAAACATAAAGTGAAAAATACTATTTGAGTACTAGTTATAGCATTAAATCTCAATGTACAGCCCACTAAGGACAAAGATCCTACATGAGGAGTAAGTACACAGTGACTCCTGTTGTTGACTTAACAAATTGACACTCTTGTTTATGGCATCAGTAATCACCCTAGGCTCTTGTCATGAGTTTCCAAGGCTATGGAAGCCCCCTGAGTTCACTGACTCTGATAATATTTAGACAAGGCCATGGTCAAAGTGGAAGTTCTCTCCTCCCTTCAGAGAAAGGTACCTCCTTCTTTGATGACCCGTTCTTTCCACTGGGATCTCACTCGTGGAGATCTTTCATTTTTTTTTTCCCCAGAGTGTCTTGGCTTTCCATGCCTGAAATACTCTCATGGGCTTTTCAGCTGGATCCGCATGC